GGGGGGGGGGGTAGGAGAACAGTGAGGTCTTTGTAGCTCATCATGACTTTCTACAGAATCGGTCATTTGGACTTGCAGTCAACTTGGCGTCAGAAGAATAAAGATGTTACAGATTACAGCAGGCTTCATGCCGCTTCTTAAAAGAGAAATGTGTACTCCATCCAGAAATCAAAGGAGGAGATTAATATCCCTTTAATCAGTGTGTCGGGGGGGCGACCTATACCTCTATTAGAAAACTGCACCTTCCTATCTCCAGAGCTACTATATGGTCATAAAGGCTTTCAGCTGACATCCAACAAGTCAATTAAACAACCAATCATTTACTAATTATTCAAGACAAATGTGACTTTGTATTGGAGAAAAAAAACAGTTTATTCATATTGTGTTGAATAAAGAAATGTTGAACAACCTCACCACAGTTCAGTCACTTCATCCTGGATTCTGCTCGGCTCACACATTGAAGTGACACATTGAAGTGACACATTACTACTCCTTAAGATGCCGGAGATGCAAAGGGACAGGACTTATAGTGAAATCCAATGTTAGTCCAGTACCACAGAGCAACACAATAGCAGTTTGGGAAAGTGGAATAAACAAACAGTAGAATTACCCATAAGATATTTTGTTCACAGTAATTCTCTATATATTAATATTGTCATAACACATATCCACACATCTAAATGTAGAATAAAGCTTTTACTTTTTACTTTAGGTTACTTTTAGGTTTACGCTCCCTTCTAAATATAGGGGGTACAAAGGGAAGTAACAACACACAACTACCGGCCACACACACGAGCACCAACTGCGGCACGTAACAGGTGTTTTTTTCACATAATATCAATGTCTAAATTAAACTGTGCATTTTTTAAATGTAGGCATTAGGAATCATTGACTTATGAACTTGTTATGTAATGAACCTTTAAGTGAAAGCTCTTGAAGTGAAGAGCCACATCCTGATGTCAGTGGAATGGAAATAGGGGGCCAGCAGCCCACTCCGCAGAGGGATGGTTTCAATGATACGGACAGAGGAAATAAAACAACCAAAAAACCCACCAAAGTTTACAAATAAACATCACAAAGATTTCAGCTGGTCAAATGTAAAAGGAGTGTGTGTTTCTACTGAGTTCCAAATAAAAAAGATATAACAATTATGGAATCCTATATCAAAAAGTCTTGCACTCCATATTTAATGTAAGGGATTTGGGCTTTATCAAACTAGAGATTACATTTGACTGTTTAAGCTTTTAAGGGATGTTTGAGTTTTTTTAAATCAATATATTATAAGTTAAGGGTAAGCAAATAGAAATAAAGAGTAAGGAAAATGAAACATATAAAGGATGTTGTATTTCTCTACCAACATTTGATTGGAAGGCTTTAAAACAGCATTAAGACCTTTATACTGGAACATCCATTTAAAAAGAATAAAGATAAAGTGAATATTTTAAATGTAAAACATTACATGGGGGGGCTTAAGTGAGGTATTTGGACTTGTGACCTCAGTATTTCCAAATCTTTGCAAGGCTGCCTGTGAATATGGTGATATTGTATTCTTATACCTTACACCTTTATTTCTACATTCTTCTAAACAGTAGTTTAAATAACGATCCCTTATATTGCATTTCAGGGGTTCATCTAAATGATAGTTCAGCCACAGAGTCTCTAAACACTATTTATGTCACCCTCTCTCTAAAGTGCACACACCAGATCCTAGCTGTTTATAACAAAGCGTTAAACCTAAATAAAAAGCGAGTGGGTGAACACTTTGAGTCAGAAATGCCAATAGTGACGCAGTATGGGATTTACCCAAATGAAATTTCCAACATCAACATTTTCAGTCTTTTTATAATTACAGATAAAATAAATGTATTGCAGAGACGCTTGGGTTCCATGCACGCATCTCGCCTGACTGCGCTGTTCTCGAGTTAAGAGTAATAAAACAATCTGAGATGTGTTTATCATTCACATATATTTAATAAGTCTCAAAAGACACGTCACAACAAAAGGGTCAAGTCGGTAAGAGTTCAACATATTTACATTCCAACATTGTTTTACACATGAACCACAACTGTTAGACGAGACGAAATGTGTACAAAAATAGATTCTTCAAACTTTACATATTAAAGGACAAATGTACATTGCATTAGAAGCGTCCTTGAATCAGTCAGTGTACAAAAAGACACAAAGCAAGGCACTAAAGGGGAATTATAGTAATTACAATCATGTTAGAATGAACACTTCAATTCAATAACTTAGACCGTTTTCTTTCTTTAAAACGTTATTGCCGTTATCTCACATGTATACGCGCAGCCTGTTGCGCGCTCTATAGTTGGCCTATGAGTTGGCGAAATAAAAAAAGTCCCCTTTATATTACAACCGCCTTCATATATTCTTATGAATGAATGGCTATTTATTTTATTTTCAGTAGACTGTACAGGCAAAGTGCATTCGTGTCAGTCTCTCCATCAGTTCTTGAGACGGAATGGGTGGGTGTGCGTAAAAGCGCACCACTGCACAGGAGATCTTGTTCGTTCCCATCCTGCAGGTTATGCTGCTCTCTTTAGTTCACAACATTCAAACACACCGAATCATTATTTAAAAGTCATTTTCTTTAAGTGGTTAGTGTGCGCCACGCTGCCATGGCTTCAAAAACGAACTATGAACACATCCCGCCGGATGTGCTGATAGCGCCTGACGGCCGCTCCAACCCGGAGCTGCTGGAGGAAGAGGAGGACGAGGAGGACACAGTGGAGGACTTCCTCTCCTTCTGTCTCAGGTGGATCTTAGTGTGTCTCTTCCTCTCGTCGCTCCTGGCAAACTTGCGCCCGCAGAACTCACACGCGAACGGCTTTTCTCCCGTGTGCGTGCGGATATGCGTGGTGAGGTGGTCGCTGCGGCTGAAGTTTCGCATACAGATGCGGCACTGGAACGGCTTGTGTCCGGTGTGGATCCGGATGTGTCTGGTCAGTTCATCGGAGCGGGAGAACCGCCGGTCGCAGCCCTCCGCAGGACACGGGTACGGCCGCTCGTGGATGGGCGTCTTACTGGGTCGGTTAGGGTACTTTCTGGGCCGCAGGATCGGTCTCAGGGGCAGGTTCTGAGGGCTGTAGGCAGAGGGTAGCCTCGTCGGTCCACATTCGGAGCCGCCAGTACCCGGACCCCCCAGCGTAAAGTTCCTGATAGTGTTCAGCGGGGTCAGAGGTGGAGGGACACGGAAAGTGTCAAGCGGACATGGACCGAACGGTTTCCGATCTTGGATACCTGCAGGGTGCATGTCCCGCTGGCAAGCCGGCTGGAAGAAGCCCGAGTAATCGGGGATGATGGGGAACAGCCCAGGCGCGTCGCTCCCGGGCTGCTTGGGCGAGGAGTAAGAGGGCGGCGGGTAAGAGGCGATGGGGCAGGTGGGGGACAAAAACGCAGAGGGGTCCTGGTACATCTCTCCACAGCCAGAGGAGGAGTACGGAGGTGGAGGAGAGTACATGTGGTGGTGATGGTGATCTATCTCAGCCTGGTTCTGAGCCGCCATGGTGCAACTCAAATTTCCGCTGGAGAAGTGATTGGGAGATCCAGAAGAAACCGGGGAGGAGGACGCTGAAGAGGAGGGACAAGGAGGTGGTGGTTGGGCCACGTTAAAGAGGCCCGAGACGATGTTGATCACTCCCTCGGGGTTCCAGTTACCAGGATACTGGGAGTCGAAGGAGAACTTTCCCATGTAGGTGAAGGTCTGGTTGCGGTGATGTGCGGGCTGAGAGAAGCCGTTGGAGTATGAGAGGTCCAGAGAGCGCTTCTCCATGCTCAGATCTGCACTCATCAAGCCATCTGCGGACATAAAACAATTAGGTCTTTAGTAAGGCAACACAAACCTGATTAAGATGTTCACACTGGACAGGACATTGGGCTTAAGTGAGAGAAAGCCGCTGCGCTTTCCCCCCTCATTACGCACGACATCTGGTCTTATTACCTTTATATA